CATTTTTATCTGCCTTGTCTGAAATAAAAATAAACACTCCCAAAGATGCAAGTCTATTAACGACTGGTAGATGTGATATTAGAGAGTAGACATAAAAAGCAGGGCTCTTGTTAGGGTCCATTCAGTGTCACCATTTCGTGAATCAAATACATGCCTTGTTTTGGATCCGTATAGCGTAAATAGGAAATTATAACTTAAAGCCAATTGCGCCTTCCAAAGTCCTTTCGCCCCTACTTCAAGCATCGGGGTATGGGTAGTTACTTTTTATTGGTACTCTGTTGAAGACGATGACGCGAAATAACCACCAACTATAGAAGGTCAAGTATGCCTAGTTACCCATTCTCTTCTTCATTTCTGACTCAGGCTACGTCCAATGAACAAGAGATTCCGAGTTCTCAATAAACTAGCTAAGCCGCCAGTAGCATCAAAGGACTTAATTAATTTACTGAAAGTACATTACGGTTGAGATACAATTCATCACACGGAAGAACTGTACAAAAAACATATAAACAAGGGATCAGCTAGAGTGTTTCATCTTGTTCTGTGTGTTTTCTGCCCACGACTGAGATGCCAGTTATAATTTTTTGAACATCTGAATTCTATGAATCACTCTGGATTCAACAGCTCATTGGTTGTGAAAGCGAGCAAACATGGTAGGCTTGCGCATACTTTGGCATCACCGTCAATGCTAGTAGTCATCGACTTTACTACTCGTTGCTAGATATGAAAATCTTGTCGGTGCAGGGCTTGCTGAATTTTAGTCCGTAAAGGATGCACTGTGTTGGCGTTATTTAAGCTATAGTAGTACGGATGTACCATTGAAGTCATTGCTAGAACGAATCACTCTTTGAGGTATAGGAAAAAAGGTGTTAATGGGCCGAATGTGTTCTGCAAGTAGTATTAGGTTTTTCTCGCCTACAAGTTCGCGGTCAATGCCATAAGCCTGAGTGCGCGGGCTCTCCAAGCAAAGCACTGCGTAGATGAATGATTGTTAAGTGTTCACTAGAATTCGCGTTGGTATCGCTGTTATATGCACTAAATTGTGTTCACTGAATCGCCGTTTCCTGCATTTAGTCAATCGAATTAGACCATCAGCGCTGTAGTCGCCCGGAGTGATAATCGACAAGGCCTTGCTGCAACAGTATTCCGTGCCGCTGGTTGCTGAACCGCACATTTCATGGGTGTCTATAACTACTGAATTGCTGCCTGTTACAAGTGCGCAGCATCATTATGATGAATCACATTTGGGTCTTATTGCCTAGTTTCATTAGACCTGCCGTGCCAGCCAGAGCTGCGGCCATATGGGACATTTTTGCAGTAACCGAAAAGTAGCTGGTCCTCCGGCCGGCTAGATTACTGGACGGAAACTCGAGAACCTGAAGATTTGCCGGCATCTTTGCTGTGTAAGGCGTTCTAGCTGAGCGGCTTTCCTATCATCACTGTGTGCCCGAATAAGAAAATAAGTGCGTTCCGAAGTGCTTCCACTGCATGAAAGAAGTGCAGTGAAATTAACGCTAAAATACCACGATTTTGACCACCATCGAAGTAAGTACGGCTTATGTGAGAAAATATGGAGACCTAGACAATGTGTGTTTAAAAAACATCTCTTTGTAAAAACAACTAAGCGATTTGCATGGTTGACTTTTCTGTTCAAGGCACCGTGAAACTGTTGATTATTGTAACTCTTCGAAGTTAAGCAATAAAACCTATGGAAGCAGATAGAAATAATGTTTAGAAGCGATGTGGGGAGACACATGAGATGAAGAAAGGGAAGATTGACTTGTATACTTCCAAGCTGTTTCAACCCTGTCTTGGAACTGTGGGTGCCACATATTTTGTCGTTACCGAAACAAGACATCCCTCAAAGACTGAACACTTTATGACAGTAATTACATTTGATGTCAGCTAGTCCGTGGGATGATTACCCAACGTGTAATCCACCTCCATCCAACTAGTCTGCTTACTATAGATCCGCACCACTTACGAGGATGCTCATGGATATGGACTACGTAGTTACAATGGG